GCCATGAGGAGCAAGTCAGTAAGCAGCACCCTCCATGGCCTCTGCATCAGCTCCTGCCTCCAGGTTCCTGCCCTGTTTGAGTTCCTGACCTGACTTCCTTCAGTGATCAACAGTGATATGATAAGTCACATAAACCCTTTCTTCCCTAACTTCTGTTTTTGTCTCAGTGTTTTGTTACAGCAATAAAAGCCCTTACTAAGACACTAGTTCTCAAGTAAGGAAGTTCAATGTGATCCCACTCAATGACAGAGATAGCTCCCGTATCCTCTCTGAGAATCATGTACTAACCCTGGAGTTATGTTTACTTGCCATGTGTGACACCTTGTGTTAATATCACTGTGCTGATCCTGAGGTCCTGTGACCATATACTACAGAAGACACTTCGCTAGTGGGATTAAGAGCCTTGTGAGATGGCTTTTAGGATTCTCTGGGTGGCCTGATACCATCTAGGGTCTCCTAATGGAGAGACAAGAGGACCAGAGCAGAGTCAGAAGTTAATGTTATAATGGAAATGAAGGGAATCAGAGGCCCCCACAGTGAGAAACACACTGTGTCACTAGAAGCTGGAAAAGGCAAGAGTTGCCTTGCTGACTGATGTGGAGGCTGTGGGACTCCTGAACCCAGAGCTGTGAGATTCATACATGTTTCCAGCCAATGGGTTTCTAGTCTAGAATCCAGAGGAAGCCTATGCAACCTATATCAGTGATTGTCCCCTCTGATACTCAAGTGTCCTGACTCTTGAACCCTTCCAGTTGGCCTTCCTCTAACCTTGTTGGTACCCTTCCCTATCTTGTGTCCACAGATGTCCTTTGTTTGTCCTTCAAGTTCAGGAGTTGATGAGGATGAGTATCTGAGCATACTGGGTCCTGTTGCTTATTTTCATGGAATTCAGTGCATAGCTCTTCCCTCCCTCTATTGCGTGTTTCTGAATACTAAGTATATTTTAAACACTTGAGGCCTATTGGGGACTCTATCCAGGGGTCCAAAGACCTATTGGGACAGTGTTCTCCACTCCTGGATGCCTAGATTAGTGTCTGCCTTTGCCGTGTGATCAGAACCATCTGCCTAGGCAGTAACTCCATTTCCAGCCATCTCTTTGGATTCAATGTGATTCACTCTCTAATCTTGGGATGATGCCTGGGCCCTCAGGGAGCCTGGGCTTTAAACTCTGTCTCTACCTCAGTATGTGGAGATAAGCATACTTATCTGGTCTCTCAGAGTTCCTTTTATTGAACCTTCTTCTCAGTAAGCTAAGCAGTGCTTCTACCCCTAATGGCCACTTTTTTTCTGGCCTGGGATTAGGTTTTGCTGACAGCCCGGCTCTCTGTCTTTGGAGTCCTTTCTCTCACACTTGGTACAGTACGCATAGTCACACTGCTGTGCAGCTGCTGGCATTGTCCATCCCTGTTAACACTGACTCTTTAGCCCCAGTTTCTGACATCCACCTTCTACTGCCTGTCTTAATGGAGCCAAGGACTCTGGGGACTTCATATGAATGGAGTACCACAGGACCTGTCCTTTTCTGAGTCGCTTGTTTCTCAACACAACATCTATCTCTGTGGTAGCATGTGGCAGACTTCCTCCTGCTGAGGCTGAGTGGTGCCCTTTCTCATGAACTGATCCATGGCTTGTTCCTTGTTGTGCATAGACACTGGGACGCTCTCACCTCTTGTCTGTTATGTTCTCACAGGGTGAGAACTGCTTCTCTGGAACACAGAGGTAGGAAGGGCTATGTGGACCTGCCATTCTTTTTAGATCTTATGGAATATGCTTGCCTGGGGTATCTTGAAATGTCATCTGAATCCTGATGTTCCTGGAAAGGGGGTTATTTATTCCTTGGTTTCTATGACATTCATCCCACAGAGCCTCAGAGCTCCAGACTGTCCAAACCTGGCACGTGGCACCCATCTTCTCTTCTTTCCTCACTTCAGACCAGGTTCCCTGACAACTGAACACTCTCCCCTGTGTCCAGATACCAAGGAATGTGGGTCTGCTACTCTTCCCACACAAGAAACAGCACTGGACTCTGGAACCAGAGGTGATAATTGTGCTTAAAATATACCTGCTCTGGTCCATGGATTTAGCAACAAGTAGAGCAGGTCCTTGCTATCTGCCTCAGTTTCCCCGCTATCACCAAGAGGTTCTTCATATACATCAGTCCTAAGTCATGCCAGGTGAAACGTTAGACTCACCCTCTTGTCTGTTATCAGACTCTAATCAGGGACTTTGATGGACACATGAAGAAGACCCACTGTCTTCTGAGAACATAAGCACAGAGCATCCACTACAGAGGTGCCACACACGCTGGGGCAAGCAGCTAGGCCTTTGTCCTCCTGTGCTCTGCAGATATGGTGTCTGAGCAGTCCACATGTGATTTCCTGCCATTGCTCAGCAATGCAAATGTGTTCTCTCTGAACATGGGGCCCTCATCCCCGACACTCTTGCAGCCCTCTACCCCTGCTCCTGGGTGACCATAAGTGCCTGGAAGTCCTTCCAGCACTTTCTCTGCACTGCAGCTTATCCCAGGTTATGCTGTGCCCTGTTGCCTCTTAGTTTGGTTCCCACACAGCACTTCCCACAGCATGCCCCTGTGGAGTTTCATGGTCCCTTCTTGGGTTCCTGAGAGGGGCACAGGGGCTTCCACCTGCAGGGGTACTTGGCTGGTACAAATACATCATCCCTCTAGGGCCAGCATGAGCTGTCATGAAGTGCAGTCAGGGGATGATCACATGAATATTTGCTCAGATGCTAAGGGCTGGTTTTATGAGGACTTGGAGCTGGAGCAGATAATTGGGAGAGCCAGCAAGGCAATCTTTTTTTTTTAACACAAAGACAATTTTATTCACATTTAAAGGGAAAACTGCGGGGCATGCAAGCTGTAAAAATACCCAGCTGTTGTCAGGGGAAGAAAGCAAAGGAGAGAGGGGGGAAAGTCATGCCATTTAAGGGAGCATGGGGTTCAGACACATGGTTGACAAGCAACCATGTGGTGAGGACAGAGCAAGGAGCTCTTTAGTGAAAGAGCAAGGAAGCCCAAAATATTGGGGGGAAAGCCCAAAGGGATAAGGAAGGCTTGCTTAGAGGAGAGAAAGAAATAAAGGGAAAATTATACTTTTCTGGATAATTTAGAATAGCAGGGCAACTTATGGCCCCACAAGGCTTCTGTCCCAAGCCTCTGTGCTAGTTGAGAACAGGATTCTGGGAAGAAAAAGTACAGTATCTCATTAAAGAGTTAATTATTCCACCTGTCTCTTTTGCATGGCTTAAGGTGAGCCCATCTTCCTAGGGGTGGTTCCTTAGCAGTCATTTCTCAAGGACAGTGGTGGCTCAGGTTATGGATACCCTGATGAAGCAGATCATAAACTGTGCCTTGGTTTCCCTCAGCAGTCCAGTCCATTGGCCCTCATGGTTTCTCTCTACCAGAGGCAGACAGTGCAGCCATGCCCCCCAAAAGGACTCCATCCCCTGAGTTGTTGTCTTGTTTTGCCAGGGTACATGGAGGCCCAGCAAGGCTGTGGATGAATGGTCTATCCCATGGTGAAGGGATTCAAGAAGGAGAATAGCAAAACCCCATTTTGTGAGGTCTGTGACGTAAAAGTTTGTGGTGGACAAGGAGACCTGGATCTGTAGCAGCTGTTCAGGACTAGTGTGCACCAGAGAGACTCCTGTACCCAGCCAAATGTCAGATAGCCAGATGACTTCCCAGCATAGACACCCATCCACTGTGACCCACCTGTCACCTGGCTGAGTCACCTGCAGCCTCAGCTGTGAAAGGGCTAGGCTGGGCTAGGAAAACCCTATCAAGTGGCTATGGAGGTATCTCTGAACCAGTCAGTTCTCCCTGCTCTGCTCCTTATTGCTTCAGTAGTGGGGGAAGGCACTCCATCCCGCTCATGTGAGTGTAGGCCTATGTGTGTTGTGCACGGGTGTATGTGTGCACACGAATGCATGTATCTGTGGAGGCTGGGTGTCAACCTTGGTGTCTTCCTCAGGCACTTTCTATTTGTTTTTGTTTGTTTGGTTGGTTGGTTTTGGTTTTTTTGCTTGTTTGTTTTTGTATTTGAGACAAGGTCTCTTAGTGGAGTCTGGGCTGCACCAATTTGGTGAGGCTAGCTGGCCAGAAACCTCCAGGAATTTGCCTGTCTCTGTTTCCCCAGCTCTCTGATTTTAAGTGTGTGTTATCACAGTGTATGACTTTTATTTTAAATATTTGTGCTGGGAATTGAACACAAGTTCTCCTGCTTGCATGTCAAGGACTTGAATCACTCTGAGCCACCTCCCCAGCTTCTGCTAGGGTTGTGAGGCAATACTGTGCAAGTCCCCTGGCTCAGACAAATACCCTGTATCTGGAACTGCCACACACAAGATGGGGAGTCATTGCACTAGCATTCAGCCCTCAGTAACTGCCCTTTGTGGGCTGAACCTTGACAGCTCTGGGATAGGATTGGAGGATGAGAACCCTGAATGTCTGAAGGAGGGAAGATAGGTACACACTTACCATTTCCCATCTGACCAGAGGCCTGGGCTCACTTCACTTGGTAGGGGTTGGAAGATGGGTGAGTCTTCCTGCCATCCTGAGCAATAGATGGTGGTTCCCAGGAGACGCGCAGTACCTTATGATGTGGACACATGCCCAGCAGAGATGGCTATCTCCTCTCTCCACCAGACTTCCTCTGGGGGTGAGCTGCCAAGGGCCACATGAGCTGTCACCTACACTACCCTTCCTGCATCCTCTCCCTTCAGATCCGTGACCATTATCACCATTACTATTACTTCTGGAAGGAGTGGGGGTAGGACAGCTGTACACTGGAACCGTGTCCTCCTTGAGGCATCCAGGTTGGGACAAGAGCCTGGGGCCGACCTTGGAGCACCAGGAGCCAAGACGACGCCCTTCCCTACTCCGGATCATTCCACTGTGCTGCGCGTTGAGGGTGAGGAGTGCGGGGGTTGCGCCCGGCCCCCCCCCCGCCACAGCCACCCGCGCCAAGCGCTCCCGCAGGATGGCGCGGGCCAAACTGCCTCGCTCGCCGTCCGAGGGCAAGGCGGGTCCGGGGGACACCCCAGCCGGCGCTGCAGCCCCTGAAGAGCCGCATGGGCTCAGCCCTCTGCTGCCTGCCCGCGGTGGGGGCTCCGTAGGCAGCGACGTGGGCCAGAGGTAGGGACGCTTGCGGGGGACCAGGACCCCCCGGGAGGGGCTTCGCATCGCTTGCATTTTATCTAGCACGGGCTCTGCTCCCCCACGCCTGGCGTTGCCTATAGCCTGGGAAGAGGGCGCCCTGGCGCCCCACCACCCCTTGACTGCAGCCTGGCCTGGGGAGACTTAGACCCTGGCCCCTTGCTTAGGGGCTGGAGCTAGGGCCCTGCAAGTATGGCCTGGGCTCTGGGCCATGTGGTCCTGGCCCACACTGCTCCAGGAAGCCCCACTCGGGTGGGTTCAGCGAGGAACACTATGGAGAGGTAGGCACTTCAGAGGTGAGCAGCGGAGGCCCAGGCAGGCTACATAGGAAACTGGCTGCGGGGGGGGGGGGCGCAGTAAAGGCATGAGCATGCTGATCCCAGCATGGTTGGGCAGCCTGGATGCAGGAGGCTTTTGCAGAAGGGAGCCCACCCTTTTCATCCTCCTGCAAGCTCCAGGTAGGATGTGGCACCCCATTTCATGGATGAGGACACTGAGGTCTCTGCAGCTGCCAATCTCTAGCTGTCACCTGCCTGTGCCAAGAACTCTGCTGGCTGCTGCGGGGGGGTGGGGAGTTGAAATGAACCAGACCTGGCCTGGTGTGGGCACATCGTGGGCTTGAAGCCTGTTCTGGTAGCGGTTGGGGCAGGGCTGGATGGGACCAGTTCAGGCAACTTCCTGGGCACTGGCTTTGAAGATGAACAAGAGTTGGCAGGGCCTTCTGGACAGGGGGATGGTGAAAACCCTGGGTGGGGTGCCAGTGCTGGGTCAAGCCTGATGGGTTGGCAGTGGCTGGACCCAACAGATGGCTCAACTAAGGTGATCAAAGCAACCCCCCTTCCTCCCTTGCCTCCCCCATTTATACCAGTTTCCTGTTTCTCACATGGGAAGGCTGATGCCACCCTGTTCCCATTTGCCAGAAGTGGCTCTTGAGGGGCCTCCCACAGCTGACAGGCAGCTCAGGGCAAGAAGATAGTTAGTGCTTCTCAAGGCTCTAGGGACCCATCTTGGCCTTTTCCTACTCTTAGTGGACACTGTGGGCCAGTAATCCTGGAAGCTCCCTTCCCAGCCTATCTGGCCCCATGAGAGGTGAGCTGCAGGGATGGCAATTCTGCCCAGCTTTGCAGCCCAGAGTGCAATGCTCCTGTAGCCACCTCTTCCAGGAAGCCCTTCCCCATTTGCACTTCTGCGTGTGGCTGCCCTTGACCCTGTAGACCATAAGCTGAGCTGTTGGCCCTTTAACAAGGATGGCCCCTCTCCCTGATTTGCAGGGTCCTTGCCAGCCTCTTTCTGCAGAGCAGAGAGACAGGAATTGTCCACCCAGCTGGGCCCAGGCAGCACCTGGGCCTCTGGCTGGCATCTGAACACCTGCTGTGATGAGCAGTTGGGAGCCAAGGCAGATCTGACATTAGGAATCGGGTTTACTGAAGTTTCCAGGCAAGATCATGGGCCAAGACTTGTCCTTGCCCTGTGTCCTATATCTGGGCTGCTGTCCAGCCAGCTGAGGTGGATTGGTAGACTGACATTAGGAATCGGGTTTACTGAAGTTTCCAGGCAAGATCAAGGGCCAAGACTTGTCCTTGCCCTGTGTCCTATATCTGGGCTGCTGTCCAGGAAGTTAGAGCCTGGTGCCTCTCCACCACTGGGAAGGTAGAGAGGCAGAGAGAGGAGAGAAGTATCTTTATGGCCCCATGCATGTCCACAATGGTGGTGTGACCCTGCCCATATAGTCCCTGAAGCACTACACTTTCTCATAGAGACAGTGGGCCTGGTGTCCATCCGTCTCACTTACCCAACCTGACCCTTCTTTCTCGGTCTCCTGTTGAGGTTTAAAATGGTTAGTAAATGTGATCTGGGGAGAGGGGTCTCTATTCCAAAGTTTTGGAACCCAGGAAAAGCTGAATCATTAGTGAACCTCTCAATGGGTTAGGTGCTGGGTCCCTTCTACACCCCTAGATTCACTGGACTTGAGGCCCTCCCACCTGTCCTCCCTGTGGACCCCCCTCAGCCCCATCTGCTTCCTTGGGGATAAAAGGGGGTGCATGTTCAAGGAGAAGTAGCTGGAAGGCTGGGGAGTAGGGCAGAGCCTCTGCACAGGCAGGTCAGAAGCCATACCTGAGCTGTGCCCATGGGGCTAGGATTGGAGAACAACTGGAGGGGTCAGAAGACAAAGACAGTCCTAGAAATTGTCCCTAGTGGCATATGTTGGGAATCTCTGGAGGCTCTAAGTGACGGGTCACTAGTGTATTTTATAGTCGGTAGCAGGACCAAGAGAGCAGGTATCCCAGAGTGCTGTGGTGACTGTGTTGTGGGTAGAAGGCTACAAATGACTTAGGAGGTGAGCCCAGGGCACATGGGGTCTCCATATCCCAGGAAGAGGAAAGGGTTTGAGATTTCTACAGATGCTTCCATGGGGAGTTTCTGGGCCAAGAATTGTCTATCCTTTGACACCCCTGGGGTCTTAATGTAAGGTGTAGAGGTGGGGAGAGCCAAAGGTGCTGGGATGGAGTTGGGGCAGGCCTGATGGATGGTGCAGAGGCTTGGCTTGGTCGGGGCCTGCTTTTCATCCCTGGGGCTCCAGAGAATAGCCACTTGCATTGCCATGTCCACTCCCCGCCCATACCCACACACAGTCTTCACTGGGGCCACCCCTTTGAGACTATAACATAGAGAAGCTCTCAGTCCACTGAGGGAAGACAGCAGGAGAAGGGACCTCCCATCAGAGCACAGCCCAGGAGTAGAGTCCGGGACAAGGGCTCCAGGAATCCCCCTCCCCAGTGACATCCCTCCTGCTTTTGATTTGGCTGGTCTAGGATCAACTGTCTACTTCTGAGCTGAGCCTGTCCAATACTTGCACACCCATCACAGCTGCCCCAAAGCCAAGTGTTCTGAGAACTAAGACCCCTACCTCATGGCTTTGTGACCTTTCCCCAGGACTTTCCAGTCCCTGTGTCTTCAACCTTCTTCCTAGCCAACACATGTCTGCCTTGAATCTGCACTCCAAGACCCCATCTTGACACCTCCGGACACCGTCTACTTCTTTACATTCACTACCTCCTTGGGGACACAGCTTCACCCTCTGTGACATCAAGTCTCTCAACAGTCAGGCAGACTTCGTGTCCACTCCATTCCCAGGATCCTTCCCTGACCATCATATGTCAGTGATACCCCCCAAAAAGCTGAGGCCGTCACAAAGCAGCTTCTTAGGCTCGCACATTGCCTTGATATTCTGAGAAGTCCGCAGCCTGTCAGTCCAGCTGCAGGGAGCAGAATTTCTCCCCATCCCCAGCTTCATGCACCCTAATATTCTTGGGCTCAGGATATGATCCCATGGATCTTTCTTGCTGGGATGTCCTTGTTCTCTGTGTTCAGAACCTCATGGGCCCTACAACCCTTAAGACCATGGACCCTCCCCTGCCCCAAGTGGCTCCATTGAATGGCCTTCATACAGCTCCCCTAACCCTTTCTAGGCTCCCAAGTGCCTCACTCCCTACTCTTGACAGTTGGACACACCCCAGCTTTACACACCACACCCCAAGACCTCTGGGGCTTGCCTCAATTGATACCCTATTACTTCTACAGTTAACAGTTTGTTCAGCTCTCTCCCCCTTCCTGGTACGCTGATATTGAAATATATGTGAATACTGGGCTCAGGTATAGGGTGCACTCCTTCCTGATCCCTCTAATGGACACAGGTTTCCTTTTTAAGTGTGTTGAGTTTGTGGGGGCTGTCACAGACTGGGGGTGGAAGCCATATAACTTGATCTTCTCATGGTTTGGGGAGCTGGATGTGAGTGGGCTACTCCCCCTCATTCAGGCCATCCTCCCATGTAGTCACGAAGTCTTCTCTCTCTGCCCATCTCTGTGGCTTGAGTCTTGAACTCTTCCTACTAGTATATTAGCCAGTCTGTGTGGGGTCCACCCATAGGACCCCATTTTAACTTAATTTCTGCAATTTTTCCTAATATAGTTAAATTATACTCTGAGATACCAGGGGTCATGGCTATAGCCTATGAATCTGGGGTATATAACCCAGTGAAGAATAAGCGGACCCCTTGTTTGCTGATAGGAACCTCCCTGACATGAAATTAATTATCTGGATGCACAAATGTGCCCCCTAAGGCTCAGTGCTCATAGGGTGCAGAGAGAAGTGGACCCCCCCCAATACCCTGACCTCCCATCAGCCCAGAAGAGTTCTAGGAAGGTGCCTTGCTGAACTTGACCCTTTATGGTTCAAGTCGGGTATGCCTGTGTCTACCCAGAGGCTCCTGTGGGGATCCCCAGGCTCTAAAGGAAGCAACAGGCTATGGGCACAGAGATGAATCCAGATTGTAGCCCTCATTCATTCTATGCCATAGCTACTTAGGGCTGTCATGCTGATAAGGAAGGCATAGTGGTACCTAGGTCACTAGTTGCCGGCATTGATCCTGCCAGGCCATCTTGGGTTTGTTTGGGTGTTCCAAGTGAATCTGCCTTCATTGCTACCACTCCCTGCCTCTGCAGCTCTCCTGGCAGGTAGCTCGGGTGCCTGACCTCATATTCCCCGGCACCAGCCCTCGGCAGGGTTTGCATCAGCCAATGATGCCCTGCTCCTTACACACAGGCCATTGTCCTTTAAGGGGAACATCTGAACCAAGTAACACTGCAGAGGTGGGGACTGCCCAGACAGTGGGGATGTAGTCTCTTCAGAATACAGCAGAGTCACCTTGTCCCAGCCTCAGCCACTCGTGTATACAACATGGCTCAGGAGCCTAGATGGTTGGTGCCCATGCAGATGGGGACTGGTCTGATGTAGGGAGCAGATCTGGGTTGTGAGCAGGCCTGGTCCTCCATGCTAGATACCGCATGACCCTGTTCTCATTGTAGCAAGCCACAACTCTGCCAGGCTCTTCAGACCTTCATCTTAGATCTTGCAGCAGAGCTGGGGCTAGGAAGGGAATTTCAGCTACACAAAGAGGCAAGGCATCTGTAAGCTCCCAGGAACCCCCAAACTTCACACCCTATTAAAACTGGGCTCCCCTATACTGTACAGAGCTGTCCGGTCATTGCCATACCAGTGGGGACATTGATTCTGCCAAGCATATGTCCATCCTTCCCCTTGTACACCCAGGGGCCAGGAGGGACCACATATTGGAATGTGAAGAAGGATACTGGCCTCACAGAGGTCCCAACGCAGGTTGTACAGGATGCTGCCCGAGGTCTTCAGTGATCTCTGCTGAATATTTGTTTTCTCGCCTGGAGAACAGTTGCTTTGAGAGAGGTCCACTGAAGTCCTTGGTTGGAGGGGCTGGCCCAGAACTGCATGAAGTCAGTACCCAACACAAACTGGAACTCCTGAGCTGCTGACCTCTATCACCCTGACTCTGAGCCCCCCTTCCATGGCAGCATAGTCTAGGGAAACTCAAGGTCAGGTTGTCTAGAGCTGGCCAGGTAGAGGAGTGCACTTCAGTCACCCAAGAAACAGCAGCTCCCAGTCCTGGCCTGCCCAGCTACAGGAAACCAAGAGACAGGGCATCCAAGGTTTCCTGTGCCCAGCAGTGACCCTGTATAGGGACTACTCAGTTGTCTTCAGCTTCTTCTGTTACAGAGCTGCTGGAAGGGCCACTGCTGGACACAGAGTCACAAAGAGGCCCGAGATAGGCTTAGCATTGAATTGGGAGAGAGGCAGATCTTTGTCTCTTGGCCAAAGGTAGGGCCTGTCCTGGTTGTGGTTTGTCACTCCCTCTGGCCAGAGTGCAGAGCCTGCATGTGCCAGCACCTATGGCCTCTGTTGCTTTCTCCAGTTCCGAGGGGTAGGCCTGGCTTCTGCCTGCCTTGCATGTAAGGCTGCCTGCCCTGACACTACCTGTCATGCCTGAGGCTCCATTGGTTACAGGTGTGTGTGCTTCTGGCATACCCCCATTGCTCTGGGTTGCTGCCTGGAGTCCTAATATGTCCTGGGGCCCCATTCACCTTCTATGTTGATGTGTCCACTCTGTCTCCAGGGTTCATGTGGAAGATTTCAGCCTGGACTCTTCCCTCTCTCAGTAAGTGCTTCACAGGGGAGAGACTGTCTCAGGGACAGATGCATCCGCATACCCCTGAGGACCAGCCCCATTGGAAAGGCTACTCTTGCCCAATACCAAGGGTCAAGAACCAGGCAGAAAAATGACAGTGTTGGTTAGCACTTCCCAGGACCAGCAGGTTCTTCTGGGGCTGGGGCTGGAGATACATGATTAATGGTCCCCTTGGGAAGAATCTGCAGGCAGGAAATGGACTCCCCAGAGGTGGATGCCTGTCTTAGTTACTTGTCTATCGCTGTGATAAGACACCACAACCAAGGTAATTTATAGAAGAATTGACTGGGGATTACAGTTTCAGAGGTTAGACTCCCAAGAAAGCTCCCTTGCCAGGAGAGTTAGTTTGAGAAGCCAGTGCCCATTTTCCCAGGCCTCTCTGGATCCCTTCTCTCAGTTTCCCAAGTGGAGATGAGGACCCATAACTGGCCAGCCCAACTCCCCTGCCTACCCCCAGGCTCGATGGGGCTGAGACCTGGAGCATTATAGGGGGGCCTTCCTGGGGAGCTTGACTAAGACAGCAGGGAGAAGCTAGGAGAGCTGTGAGCCCCACCTGGTCCTTCAAGAAGGATCCACAGCCACAGGAGGATGCCACAAATAGAGTTCTACTGAACTCCCCTGGGGATTTTGAAGGCTTGGGGTTGGCAGTCATCAGATCTCTTCCCACTTGGCTGTCCCTCTGCAGATACAGGAAGGAACAGCTGCCCCTGGCAGCCTGTTCTGGGCCCCTCTTACCCACTCACCCAAGAAGCCAGTACCATGGCTATGCCCTCCAGCTCCTCAGCAGGATAGGTCATGTGTTTTGCTCCGGCTCACACTGGTGGTTGGACCTGTGCCCTGTCTAGTGTCTGTAGGCATGATTGGTGTGTATGTAGCCAGGCTGTGAGTTTGCAGTGTGATACATGGAACAATCTAGGCCTGAGGTGGCTTTCTGGCCGCACTAACTTTCATACCCACACCAGCACCATGAGGTTCTAGTCCTGGGCCCCATACCCATTATCTCTCACTGTACCTCTCTCTGAGCTCATTCCCAAGGGACACAGTTGGATACATCTTAACTGATGAAGCACTTAGATCTTGTAGTTACTCTGTGATGCTATGGGAAGCAGCTCCCATCATTATTCCCATTCCCAGGAATGGGAGGAAGCTAAGCTAAAAGGCAGGTGAGAGGTAGAGCCTGCATCTGTCTGGCTTCCCAGTGGGCACTGGCTCTCAGTCCTTAGACTCTGCCTGCTGGACCAACACAGTTTCTATGACTCCCGGGAGCTTCATAAAGGCCCCAGGATACCTTGAGCAAGAGCTTTGAGAGGTGCAGATCATCCCCAAACTCACTATGCTCCTGTGTCTGTGCCCTGTGTCTTCATCTTTCGCTAGGGTGGACACACATCCTGTCTTAAACACAGATTGGAGTAAAATGGATAGTTTTAATCCCTGTTTTGTGTGGTGCTAGAGGAAGTGAGTGACCACAATTTATTAAAAATTCAAAAGTAAATGAAGACTCATTGATTTCCCTGGCATTGTAGAGCTCTGACTTCAAGGAGCCAAGCAGGCCTTGTGGCTCCTCCAGGAGAACACCTTCAGCCATAAGAGGGCACTGCCCACGAAACACCTGGGGCCATCCAAATGGGTGTTGGCAGCCTAATGGGCAGCCCTTCTGGGAGGTGGCTGTGTTCTGCTCATGGGGTGTCATTAGTCAGGGTCACACTGGTTCAGGGACGATGTCATTAGTCAGGTCAGCTTTCCAGAGCTGGGGGAGGGTGCCAGCAAGGGGCGGGGCTGAGTATCACAGGTTCCTAGTTGTTCACTGAGCAGCTCAGTGGCCATGGTGGCTTCTTGGTCTTCACAGGTGGCTGAGTTTTCTGATCTCAAGTTGCTCCTGAGAAAATGACAAGAAGGGCAGGAGGCAGCCTTGAGAGGGCCCAGGACCCTGGAGAATGGAGCTGGAAAAGTGGTCATGGGCATGGGGTGGAGAACTGAGTGCTCAGGGAACCTGGGGGCTGGGGGCAGTGGTCAGACACAGTGGGGAAGCAGCAGGGGATTTCCAACAGGAATGTCCCACAAGAATGTCTAGTGAGATGAAGCAGCAGGGTGCAGGGACAGAGGGAGGGTCACACACACACACACACACACACACACACACACACACACACACACACCAGTTGAATTTAGTTCCTACTTTCTTCCTGCCTCTTAGGGATTAAACTCATAACACATAGCACCTTAACTTCACCATGTCTACATTGACACAAAATAGCAGAGAGGAGTGAACATCAAGCCCAGCCACTGGGGGCACACCAGTGGAATTTAGTGCCTTGATCTGGCAGGTGGCAGAAGCCTCCTGTCACCATCCCTGATGCCCCTACATTTAGGGGTGTCATGGGAGTAGAGCCAAAGATAGGAGAGGGGAACCACAGTGGATCAGAAAGGCTGTGGTCTGATAGAGACTGCTGCCTTGTTGCCTTGGCACCTGCTGAGGGGGCTGTTGTGGGGGGGGGCTGGGCATGTGGAAGACCCTCCCATCATTGATGCCTTTATTGTAGAGGAGGTGGGTGTACAGGAGAGTGATCTGCAAGCTTCGTGCATGCTTATAGGTTACAGGTGGTCCCTCAAGCCACCTGTTGACTCCCCTGCCCCCATCCCTGCACAGCCTGTCCACCTAGTTTCAGACCCCTTCAAAGAGAAAGGTGCACAGCAAAGTGTACTGAGGTACAGTAGGGATGTTGTATAAAGTCAAGTTCAGAAGTATAGTGGGATATACCAGGGTACACCAGCCAATAGCACTAGGTTGGTCCCTACTTGCCTACTTGTTGTGCAGTCCAGGGTGGACCCAGTCATTGCCCTGCACCAAGCCCCAATTGTGCCTTGGTTCAAGTGAGAGGACAAGGCTCTTGGATCCTCAGGGAACTCTGTGACCAGAGAACCACTGTGACCCAGGCTGCTCCCCCAGCCCACAGACAGGACACTTGGCAAAACTGCTGTGCACACTGTGATCTGAGCTCACCAGGCTTCAGAGGTGGTTATTAGATTTTAAAATATATTTTATTACCTTTATTTATTTGTTTATTTGGTGTGTGCTTGTTGGGGCGTGCATGTACTATAGCATGCATGGGAAGGTTGGTTGTTGTGGAATATTAGTTAAATATTGGTTACAATTAGTTATGCTGTGGAATATTTGCTTAATGATGCAAAGATGTGTTGAATTCTTTTATGTTGCATTTGTTTAACTCTGCAAAGCTGTGTTATTTTGCCTGTCTAAAACACCTGATTGTTCTGATAAAGAGCTGAACAGCCAATAGCAAGGCAGGAAAGAGAAACAGACGGGGCTGGCAGGCAGAGAGAATAAATAAAAGGAGAGACCGTAAAAGGGAGAGCAGAGAGGAGCAAAAAAAGGAGGAGAGGAGGTAGTGAGGGGCCAGCCACACAGCAAGATGTGGAATAAGAAAGAAAAGATATACAGAAATGGAAAAGGTAAAAACCCAGAGGTAAAAAGTTGATGGGATAATTTAAGAAAAGCTGACTAAAAAAAAATAAGTCAAGCTAAGGCATTTATAAGTAATAATAAGATTCCTTGTATTTATTTGGTAGGTCCCCCAACAGATCAAAGAGTAAAAAACAAACAACAAAAAACAACTACACTTGGTGGATAATTGCAGTAGTCAGTTCTCTCCTTCCGCCGTGTGGGACCTGAGGATCTAACTCAGGTCGTTGGGCTTGGTGGCAAGTGCTGTCACTCTATATGCCATCTCATTGGCCTGATAGTGACTATTTAAAACACTTGTGGGCTGTTGGGATAGTCGTCCCCAGCCAGGAACTGACATTAAACTCTCCAACTGTCTTGTCGGAGCTAGCACCTGATCAGAGGAAAATGAATTTCAGAGTCCACCCACCCTGGGCTTGGTGCAGCCTCCCCAGTAGACAGTAACAGTGACGGGGGAAAGACTACAAACAGGGAATCTTAGCTGGTATTTGTCTCCTTTGCCTACAGAGAGGCAGTGGCCTTCTCCATGCCTGCAAGATCCTTCCAGGCAGCAAGACATGCCTGCAAGGCACACTTTCCCTCTGCTCCTCTGAGCTGCTGTGACCCTACGCTGTACTATGGTCCCTGGTGCTGTGTCCCACCTCATTCCTTCTTGGGGGAGTTTCAGCCTGTTTCGGGGTTGTACTGATAGGAGTCACATGTCCTGGGAGCCTGTGTCCCTCACAGTGAGCCATGGACCATTCAAGGATACATGATTGCCCCAGTTCACAGAGGGAAATGCTGTAAGCTGACCACACCTGCTACAGGAGTCCAGGCTCCAAACTCAGACTCCCATCATCCTTCCTATGCCAGTACTGGCGTTTTCATCTCCTGCTCCTGAGTGGGATGGGTAGGGCACAGGGCTATGTCTGAAGCTTGGGGATTGAGAACAATAGCTCATCTTCCCTTAGCCACAAGAGTTATATACTCATGGCTAAGTATAACTTGGCTTGGCTCTTCCAAGTAGCACGTGGCTCTTCCTGGGTGTGGCAATGCGGCATAAGTGGAGGAGTCAGGGGCTCACTCGCTATTTGCTCTTGGTGATCTTGGGACTTCAGGGAATATAAGTGTGGCCACGCCTCAGAGACTGGCCTCTGTGGACAGTGCCATGGGAGTGGGGGGATGGAGGCCAGATCCCTAGGATGACTAGAGGGGCAGCTCATAAATGACTACTTCCTGCTGGTCCTTCTGACTATTCCTGTGATTACAAGGAACACAGGCCTCAGAATACACACCCTTGAGGCCACCACACATAATGACTGTCAGCTCCTGAACATCCTGCTAAGGTTTGAGCACCCAATGCCCAAAGCTCTGTGGGTGCTGTAGGCCTGATCTTCCTGGGGTCTGGAGGGCTGGGGGATGCTGAGAAGGTGGTACACCGGTGGCTGCAGGTGTAGCAAGGGGAGGCTTTGGGAGGACCAATGGCTGCTTCAGACCACAGACCTTGATGATTCAAAGAAGGGGCATTTGTCCCTCCCAAGTTCCTCTGTGTTCCTGTGGTTTGAAAGAACCCAGCTGGGCTTGGAACTCTGGCTCTGGCTTTAGGCTCCAGCCCCTGCCTTGGGCCTGAGCCCCCTGACCCAAAGCCTCAGCCTCCTCTCCTTCCTCAGGGTCCAGGTGGAATTCTATGTCAATGAGAACACCTGCAAAGAGAGGCTCAAGCTGTTCTTCATCAAAAACCAAAGATCCAGTGAGTCAGGGGCCTGGAATATCCTGGGTGGAGAGGGATGGGCAGGGTTGGGAGTCTGAGGAGATATGCCAGCTGGATGGGCAGAGGGCAAAGGTCACTTTGGCTTCCCATGTCCTGGCCTGTGGAGATATGCACCCCCATAGTGGAGACTGGGTTGAACTGGGCTAGGATGTCCATGGGAGCCAGCCCACACCCTAGGGATCCCAACCTCCACACTTCCTCTACTGCTTCCCAACTTTAAGCTTGGCCACTGTGTACCTACCTGGGATGCAAGAAGGGACTTGGATGTTAGGCTGTGGTGCCAAGTGTCCTAAATCTGTTCCCATGAGAGAAGTGCCCCCAGGAAATCCCCTGCACCCCAAGCCCCTGCACGGAGCCTCATCCATACAGTGGTCCGAGGAGTCTGGGGTGGGGAGCGCAGATGCATCTGTCCTCTGCATGGGGGGGGTACAAGTGTGAGATGGAGGTTCATGCAGGGCCACTTCAGGAGGGGCTGTTGGGAGACCCCAGAAGAGTGGGTGGGCGTGCTCCTTGAAGATCCTGCCCTGATGCCACCCTCCCCACAGGCCTGAGGATCCGGCTGTTCAACTTCTCCCTCAAGCTCCTCACCTGCCTGCTGTATATCGTCCGTGTCCTGCTTGACAATCCAGACCAGGGCATCGGATGGTGGGTGACCTGTGGGGCTGAGGCTGGGGTCCTGAGGCTGAGCCTTTCTGTTAAACCCCACTGGCATTTTGGGTGTCTGTGGGGGAGACCTGTGACCAACAACTCACCAGACTCCCAAGAAGCCCTGTCATCAGAGCCTGGGGAGTCTTTTCTTCCCCTAGTGTGACCCCAACATAGAGTCATGCCCAGGTACCACTCATACCTAGAATGGTGATTGGGTCAGCATTAAAAGAGGGGCCCCCAGTGTGGAGGTGTGTGTACACGCAGCCACAAAGTATGTGTTCCAACCACCTTAAGGAAGAGGTGCCTGCTACCAGGTGTCCTAATAGGAGCCCAGCTGAGGAGGCTGGGAATTTGTCCTCTGATGTCTTCTCTTTGAGACATCAGTGCTATTGCCCGGCCCAGACCTTACAGGGTGCCATTATCTTCCCTGAAGGCTGCTGGTCTCTCGGCACCTGGGGATGATGCCTTGGCATGCTTCTGGTTCATCTCTGGGCTGCTCCAGAGGCCCTCGGTGCCAGGATTGTCTTGAATTGTGTCCTGTGGGGTTGGGAGGCTGGGCCCTGGGCCACCTGCATGCTTGTCACTCCTACCTCCTACTCTGCCCCTTTTATTCTCTCGATTCTATTCTGAGGTGACATTCCTCCCCCAGGTCTGACTTCCTGCATCCGTCATTTCCTAGTTTCCCACATCCCTCTGAGGATGCTGTGCCTGGCCCTTCACTTTATTAGTTACTTCTACCGGAGCCATTTCTCTTGAACTCTGTTGGCCTCTGAATTGCATACCAGTGGGTTTGACAAGTGGGTTCAGATGCCACAGGACTCCTTAGTCAGAGCCTAAGGGTTTGGGTGCCACTGCTGGGCCATCTGTGAACCCTGCCAACACTGAGTTACCACCTGGGCCACACAGAGCAGGCTCTTCCTAAACTGCTGGGGTCCTGTAAATCTCCAGGCAGGAGGCCAGACCTGGAGCCTATCTGCACAGTTTTACTGAACTCCTTATTTTCATCTGTTGCACATTTCCAGGAAACTAGAATTCCCAGACCAGAAACTCTCACTTGCTATTGAGAATAAACCTCTTATCACTGCACAGGTCAGAGGAGGGAAGAACCTTCTAAAGTTGTTTGAGGAGACATAGAGGCTATAACTGACTCAAAACACTCTTTTCTGGGTCTGTTTCACCTTTTGAGTCCTGAAGGCTCAGGACTTCTGCTTCCACCTCCCTAGAGGATCAAAGTCTGTTGTATTCATCGCCATCACTAGCAGGGACAATGCGTGGGAGGGTGGGTGGATGATGGATATTGTGGTGATGGACAGATGGGTGAATGATGGATAGTGATAGCTGGGTAGGTAAATGGTTGATAGGGGATGAGATGCTGAGTAGATGTTGGAAAAGAGGATGCATTAGTAGATGGATACATGAATTACAGATCAGGTGATGATGGATGCACAGACCATAGATGAGATTATACATAGGTAGACATATGGGTGGATGTTGGATAGAAGAATGAGCACAAGCAGATGGACGTATGGGTCACAGATCAGATGATGATGGATAATAAAGAGCGCATGCATGGACCACAGATGAGGTAGGGGATGGATAAGTGACTGCTGATGAAGAATGAGTAGATAGATGCTGTATAAGAGGGTGAGAGAGAGGGTGGGTGGATGACTCAGAGACTTCTGTGGGTACCGACTGCAACAACCCCAGTAAAGCACAGGTGAGAAGAGGAGAGGAGAGGAGCGGCCCCTTTCTGGGTTCTGTGAGCAGTGAGGTCCCTGTGGTAGCTGCCCCTGGTGCTGATTATGGCCTGGAGCAGAGCTAGCATGTTGACTGTGCCCTGCTACCTCTCATCAGCTGGTTCCAAAGTGCTTGGATATGCTTATCTTCAAGCGGCTTGGGGATGAGGCTCATTAATTCATCTGCTTGAGGTAGGAATGTTCTTTCTGACTCTCAAGAACTATCCAGACTTGTTCAGGCAGCTCCGGCCTCCAGAGAGCGTAAGTGTCCCCCCTGGGCCATCTGTGGTTGTCCAGGGCCCATCTCTGGAGCTTGTCATCAGTAAAGGCTAAGTCCTCACTTTCTCCTGAGCAGCACCTCACTACAGGCCCAGATCTCCAGACCGGAATGTGTGCTCTATGCATCTTGCTTAGAGAGCCTCCCAACATGGCCACTGCAGGCCAGGGAGGCTCCTCCCACGTTAGAGTACCAGCTGCAGTTGGGGCATATGGTGGGCCCTGGGTGAGCAAGTAGCTGCCCTTTCCATTTGCCCTGAGCCCACAGCAGCTTTGGAAAGGGCCCTTGGCATCCACCCTAGAGGTCTGTGGCTGGGCCAGTGCTTTTGTCTCTTCACAGTTGGGGCTGCACGAAGTATAACTACACTTTCAATGGCTCATCCTCCGAGTTCCACTGGTGAGTTTGCTCCTGGCTCCCATTTGTCAGGCCACACTGGGAGTTTAACTGTTTGGCTCTTGTGTAGCCAATGCCCAGCCTCAACCCAAGGTTAAATTCCCTGGGGCATGTTCAACTGCACCCTTGCAATCTGGCTGAAGTCGGTACCAAGGATATTCCATCAGAGATGGGTAATTTAGAACGAAGCATGTGTCAGCTCCCCCACTTACCCTCCACATCTGGCCATTGGGCCCTCATTACCTTGGTAACATCTTCTGGAGCCTAAAGAGGAAGTGCACTGGCAATTGTGAGTCTGTCTGGGCCTCACTTCCCTTCTTTTCCTAGGGCTCCCATCCTGTGGGTGGAGAGGAAGATGGCTCTGTGGGTGATCCAGGTAAGTCCCAGCCTACCTCTCCTCCCTGCAAAGTGGAGGCTGCTTGTATGGACTCAGTAAGGAGAGGACTCTGGTTAAGTAAGAGAGCAGAAGTCCCATGTTCAGCAAGCAAGGGACTCAGGCTCCCTCGGTAAGCAGGGCCTTAGGCTCAGAAGTAGAGACCCAGGCCTAGCAATTCTTACTATAGTTTTCCTGGAGACCACTGAGGGCATGCTTCCCCCATCATCTCTTCCTTGGTGAGAACCTCTCCTTCCTGCTTGCCCACCCAATACTTACTGTCTTCCTGGGAAGTAGTAACTCAGGCCAGCTTCTGAGGGTGTCTTCCCCAACCATGTCCCAGAGGCCTGGGTCCCTTGCCTGGAGGATCCCATAGGACTCACAGATGCCTGTAATAGAGGCTCCATTCCTACCCAGGGCCCAAGGAGTACTGTCACCTGAGCCTCATCCCCTCACTGTCACTTCCACCTCCTATGGTGGCTTTAGTAGTGCTCTTCAAGTTTCCCCCACCCTTCCTGCTTCATCTTCCCTGATTGTCCATAGGGTGCCCCAGCAGAGCAGGGGTCAAGTCTGGACTGCCCTCTACCTACCTACCCTAGGCCCTAGAGTAGCTCCTGCAAGTATTTCCAATCAAGACCATCTTACTTCAGCAGCAAGGATGTAGGCAGCACACACACACATGATCACACACACACAAACACACACACACACACACACACACACACTCACACACACAAGTGCTCTCTCACACACAGGCACACACACACACACATACACACATGCTGTCTCTCACATGCTGTCTCTCACACACACAATGCTCACACATGCTGTCTCTCACATACACTCACATGTGCTCTCTCTCACACATTCACACATACACACATGCTTGCACAGACACTCCCACACACATGTACACACACGTGTACACACACATGCTCACATGCTCACATTCACACTCACACACTCTCACACATGCTCACACACACACACATATGCTCACACACACTCACATGTGCTCTCTCACACATGCACACACACACACTCACTCACACTTGAGAACCCAGCATTGTTAGGACTCTGCCTGCTGAGACCCTCAGGAATAGGTCAGGCCCTGTTCCCAGATCTGTTCCATGTCTCTCTGCTTTCTTCACTCAGGTCATTGTGGCCACAATAAGCTTCTTAGAGACCATGCTCCTCATTTACCTCAGCTACAAAGTGAGTTCTTCCCTGTATCTACCCTGCCCCGGTTCCCCACCATGCCCTTTCTCCACAGCCCTTCCTCTGGCACCCATGATCCCTAACTTGAAAACTGCCCACTTCCAACCCTTATCTCTCCTTATCTTCCAAGCCCCTAGTCCCCGTCCCCCACCCTGATTGCCCCTTGCTGGCTCTGAAGTACCTCTGGCCCTCAGGGCAACATCTGGGAGCAGATCTTCCATGTTTCTTTCGTCCTGGAGATGATCAACACGCTGCCCTTCATCATCACGGTGGGTGAGCCCCAGCCCCAAGCTCGGCTACCCAAGCCCCACCTGACCTCTCCCCCACACACCACAGGTCTTCTGGCCACCTCTTCGGAACCTGTTCATCCCCGTGTTTCTCAACTGCTGGCTGGCCAAGCATGCGCTGGAGAACATGATTGTAAGTGAGGTCTGGCCCCTCTCGGCTCCAGGAGAACAGTTTCCCCACCTGCTGGTGGGACCAGTTAGTGGCCAGGAGAGTGCATGCCACAGTGATGCGTTCCAGTCCAGCCTTGAGCTTCCTCTTCCTGTGAGGACAGCTTTTCCAGAGCTCAGGAGAAGATGGGACAGGGTGTGGGGATATGGGCAAGCACAACCAGACTGGGTGACAAAACCAGGGCCAAAAGACTGCAAGCTCCAACTGCTCCATGGCCAGCCTCTGCTGGAATGTGCCCATCTCCTATAAATGAAAGCCAGGACGACAGCTATCTCCCTGGCGGGAGACTCAGCCCTGTTCTGGTTGCATAGTGAAGTTTTGAAGTCAAAGGTGCTCACACCTATCTGCCGTCTGGCATATTTTGATCTCACCCCAGGGCATGGCTCATCCTAAGACCAAGCTGAGGTCTGGGTGGCCAGCACAGAGCAGCATTGCCTGTAGCCCTCCCCTGGGATGGCAGTGTGAGCAGATCTCTGTTTATTATGCATGGAGTATTTATGGGCCCTGACTTCTGATAGCTTCATTCTTTGCAGAATGACTTCCACCGTGCCATCCTGCGCACACAGTCAGCCATGTTCAACCAGGTGCTCATCCTCTTCTGTACCCTGCTGTGCCTCGTTTTCACGGGGTGAGTGCCCTAGACATCTCATGGTCCATCCCATCAGGTGGCCATGGCTCACCCACTCCCCGAGCAGACCTCAAGCCTAGGTAGAAGATAGGCCTAGGGGCAGTGACAGAAGGGGCACAAAGCTGACGTAGAACTTAGCTCCAAACTCTTGTGTCCAGAGACCCTGGATACAGTGACACAACCCTGACCTGTAGATGCCTGCCCAACTGGCTGTGTTTGCAACTCTGAAGGGAACTTACCTCTGGGCTGCGTGGGGGCCCTTTGGTTTGATGTGTCTTTTGGAGGGTCACCCAGAGTGGGGAAGTTCTGGTCACATGGGTAGACCAGCCAACCTCCTGCATCTGCCTGTGGAGTGGCCTTGCTCCATGTCCTCAAAAGAGGCCCAGTCACCCCTGCTATCCCTCAGGCAAGGGTGAGCTGGCTAGGAGTGGCTGCAGGCCTGGAGGACATGGAGCAGGGCCACACCATCACTGCTGCAAGCCACACCCCTTTGGCACTGAAGCACACCCCCTCGCAAATTGCAGCCCCACCTCCTTACTACTGAATAGAGTGAGCAGCTTTCCCAAGCTCAAACTTAAACTCAGTGCAGGGGGCAAATATCCACCTGTGGGTGGTGAGCGTCCAGACCCAGCTTTACAACCTCACTCAGTATCCCAAAGATCAGGGATGCATCACTTAAGTCCTAGGTGACAGGGTCCCCAGGACTGGTAGAGCTTTACCCCTCTGGGAGCAGAGAAAGGGGTAAGGCCCTGTGTCCCTGTCCACAGCAGCCAGCTCAGGCAGCCCCACTCCACACCACAGCCTTGTCTCTTACCATTCAACTCCTCCCATCCATGGCTGCAGCCCCTGCCCCACTGCCACAGCCTCCCCCCTGCCGCAGCCCCTCCCTGCCACCGCTGCAGCCCTGGCCTTCTATCTCTAGGACCTGTGGGATCCAGCACTTGGAGCGGGCCGGTGGGAACTTGAACCTGCTGACCTCCTTCTACTTCTGCATCGTCACTTTCTCGACTGTGGGCTTTGGCGATGTGACACCCAAGATCTGGCCATCCCAGCTCCTGGTGGTCATCCTGATCTGCGTGACCCTTGTGGTGCTCCCACTGCAGGTGAGTCCCCGAGCTCCACACAGGGACAGTCGGGAGGCGCTGTGTGAGGGGTGACATAAGGACAGGAGGGATCCTGGGGGTTGTGGACACATGTTGGAAAGTCATTCCCAGGAGAGCACTGGGGCCTGAGGAGGTGTTCCGCTCTGTGGCAGGTCCCTCGACTCTGGTGAACAGCAACTTGGTGTTCTGCCCAAGAGAAACCATGGAGCACAGGTTTTTTCTTTTTCTTCCAGGGGGTCTGAGGTGCCCAAATGACCCATTCAAGAATTTATTTAGAGACAGATTGTGGGGGTGAACTTCACCCTCTTTACCAATCACAGCTAAGCAACATTTAGGGCTATGAGAGACATCTGGAAGCGTCATTGCTGACCCTGAGTTCTGACCTTGGGCTAGTCCCATCTCTGACATTACAGCACTGAGCTCCAAGCCCAGCAGGCATCCCCTTACTTCTGCCAGAAAGAGCTGTCTGCCTCTCCACTGCCCCTGTCCTGAGTATGCGGCACTGAAAGCCTGGAGTGTGCTAATCCTGTCCCTTTCACCCATCACTGTCCTTCCAGGCAGTTCTCCCCATCTGTTAGCTTTTCTGTGCCCAGAAGCTGGTCCTGCAGCATTCTGCTTCTAGCTGCTGGTCTCTGACCTCGTTCCTTGCCTTGTTCAAGGGTCCTGCCCTTCTACAGGCAGTTGAGGTTTTAACAATGTCTAATACACCGACTTGTCTCTTAACATTTTCCTCTCTTACCTAAGAGAGCCATTCCCTCCCTCAATTGTAAGTCTGTTTTCTTACAAAAGTTTAAGATTAGCTCCTCACAGAGGAGACAGCCCCTCTCCCCCCAGAACAGAGTCTGTATGGCAGGATGGGGATGGGCCTGACTCGGCTCCATGCTCATTCCTCCATCCCTCAGGCTCTGCAGAGAATACTCCAGGTGTCTCCAACATTCCCCGCTCCGGTTCAGAAGCTTCTTGGGTCCTTATTAGTCTGTGTAAGATTTCTAATTCCCAGGCAAGGCCTCTGGTACCCACCTGTAATCTCAGCCTTAAGCAGGTTCAAGACCAACTCCCATGTAAGGATTTTTATGCAAATCACATTGACACCTGTGGCATGGACCAAGTTGCAGCTTATTAAGGCCTTTCACCTTTCCTAGCAAGTCTCTTGACATTCCTGGGGCTTTTTGCAACACTTTCTTTCTTTCTCTCTCTCTTATTTTTTCTTTCATTTTTTGGGAGGAGAGGGGTTTTGAAACAGCATCTCTCTAGGTAGTCAAGAGACATATTGTAGCCTCAAATTCACAGAGATCCTCCTGCCTCTGCCTCAGGAATGTTGGGAACAAAAGGCGTTTGTCACTACACCTTGCTAAAAAACCTGACATTTTTATTGTTTTGTTTTGTTTCATCCAGGGTGTAAAGTTCTTGATATATTTATTCAGGCCACATTGTAGTTTTCTCCTGTGTAGACCTCAAATTCTAATTCTGAGTTCTGCTAGTGCCAATGTGTGGAGTGTGTATCTAGCAAGCTTTGCTGGTCACTGGTCAGCTTCCCAGTATTGTCCCAGAAGAGTGACAGTCCACACTTCCTCTGAGCTTTGTTCTGATGGTCCTCTGACAACCTGCTGAGTATGGGGAGATGCCCTTCCTCTGCTTAAAGACCTTCCTTCTCATCCCAGTTTGCTGAGACCAGAATGTTTTATGATTTATTTATTATTCTAAAACTGGTGTTTGAATGTAAGTCCATGTGAGGGTGCCAGATCCCCTGTAACTGGAGTTATAGACATTTGTGAGCTGCCACATGGGTGCTGGGAATTGAATCCGATTCTCTGGAAGAGTAGCCAGTGCTCTCAGCTGCTGAGCCATCTCTCCAGCCCATAGAATCTTTTTAATTAAATTCTTCTTATCAGTCCGATTAAGTGTTTTCTCCTTAAATTGTTAGGGTCCTGTGTAATATTAACCATCCTTGAATTCCTGAAACACAACCTATGACATTCTACATGTTATGCTGGACTCTGTTGCGTGTTGTTGGGTTGTTGTATCTGATCTGTGGCTGTGCTTCCCTTGTGGATCATCACACCCAAGATGGCTCTGCTTTGGTCCCTCTATGCCTCAGAGTCCCTGGGGCTGGAGTGTGCGGGTATCTCCGGAGACTCCTGAAAGGCGGCCACACACTATGGAGCAGCACCTGTCCTCCACAGTTATGAAGGCCACAGGCCCAAAATCTGGGGTCAGTGGCATGGTTCTCAGAGGGCTGTAAAGGCATGGGGTTAGCCCTGCCTCGGCTACTAGCCTCAGCATCTCTTGGCTGCTGTCTAAACTGTCTTCCTTCCTGTGTTGCTTGCCTTCTCCTTTCTTCTTACTGGACTGGGAAACCATGTCAGCTTCTCCAGTGTGGGCTTTGAGGGTGTGACACCCAAGACTTAGCTGCCACCGCTCCTGGTGGTCATCCTGATCAAGATCATCTCAGGTTCCTGACACACCCTGATCTCTACAAAAGCCCCCTTTTATTTTTCCAAATGAAGTCACATTCCTAGGTCCCAGGAGGACATAACTTTTGGGAGCCCCCTTCGCCCACTATAGGTCCTGTCCTCACGATGCTGCCCCCTCCCCTCTGCAAAGCCATCAGGGTCCATCCTGGCTTCTCATCTCGTAGCCTCACCAGCTCTTCAGTGGCTCATCCATGGTACCCTGACCTAGCAGAAGTTGAAGACAGTGCCAAGGATGGGTCCATGGACAGGCATCCCCAATCCAGCCATATGACTCTCAGCCTCCACTTTCTATCTGGACACCCCAGTCCCTTTGCCAAGGGAGGGTGAGCCCCTGCCCCAGTAGCCCCAGAGTCACTTTGAAATGGAGTAGGAATGGAACTCCTCTTTGCCTTCTCAGAGGCTCTGAGACGCTGAGGCTCACTCTCCTCCATTGGGACCTAGGGTTAAGTGTTTAAGTCTCAATGTCCAAACACTTAGATAACAGATGTTCTTGAGGCCAGGTCAGAACGAAGCTTTGTTGGGGCTAGTAGCAGCCCTGGGACTGCGCAAGGCCATTATCTGGTAGTTCTCATGGTTGTGGTGGCTCCTGAGCACATCCTCCACCTTATCCCTGGATTTAGGAGTCACCATAATCCAAGGTGGCCTCAGGTCAACAAATTACAGTCACAACCCCTCCCCTTTTCCAAATCAGCTCCCATCTCAAGATTCTGAGCAGACATCCACTTTAGGAGCCACTGTCAATCCTACATTAGCTCTCTAACCCCCGACCCACCCACCCACACACCATAGCCTACAAGACAGGCACTTATGCTTTCCAAGTGAGGAAGCTGAGGCCCAGGATGTCCATCAGCAGTGCCCTACCATGGACCACCTGCAAGGGGTCCCTGTGTTCCCCAACCCCAGAGTCTTGAACACCCCCCGCCACAGGTCTCCTGGTGAGGACTCATGGGAGTGAGAGTGGACAGGGTCAGGACCTACAGAAATGGGCTGAAGCTATGTGTAGTCCCGATGCTCAACACAGAACAGGCGGTGGACATCTGACCTCAGAGCCTTGGGCAGAGCGAGGCTTTGGGCAGAGCCAGTGCTGTGCAGCTCACGTGACCCGGGCAGATGTGAACTTGGCAATCCTTATAACTTCCCACCCAGTCTGAGAGGACCTCCCTGGCAAGGACTGAACACGTGACTTCCACATCCAGAACCTGACACCTGATCAGGTCACTGTTGCTAGAAAGAAATCCCTGACTTCACTGCTAGGGATTTCCTAATACTGTCAGAAAGCTGATAGGTGGAGCCAGGCCTCGAATGTCTGTCCAGATGTCCAGAGTACAGGCTCTGGCACACACTACTGGTCATGTAGCTTCTAGGCCGCCAGCTGGACTTCCCATGACCTGAGTCACACACCACAGTTTCTGACCCTGCTTTTTACATGCCATCTCCTGGTCCTGCTCTGGTCCCTGTTAAGGTCACCATCCCCATCACTCCTACATCTTGGCAGCCAAGCAAGCCTGCTCTTACTCTGTCCTCAGGACCTGGCATTTCCACCCTGGACAGCCCCTGCCCCATGCCACTGCTGCTCCACAGCCTGCCCCACCCTTTGTCCCCCACTGGATGCCTGTGCTCATTTCCCCCTCTTCACAGTTTGAAGAGCTTGTCTACCTCTGGATGGAGCGACAGAAGTCAGGGGGCAACTACAGCCGCCACCGAGCACAGACAGAAAAGCACGTGGTCCTGTGTGTGAGCTCCCTCAAGATTGACCTCCTCATGGATTTCCTGAATGAGTTCTATGCCCACCCCCGGCTCCAGGTAAGGCTATGGGCAACCCTAGAGAGCCTGAGTTCTTTCCCCACCCCCACCCCCACTGTGCAAGACTGCCACATGCTTGGGCAGGGTTCCTGAGCACTCTAGACCCCGGTTATCGAATCCAGTGTGTGTGTGTTGGGGTGGGGGTCTGTGATGGTCCCATAAAGCCCTGGGAATGACACCACTCAGGAAACAATACAGGCTGGGGGGGGGGGGAGGAGCATGGTAGGAGGCACTGAC